AATCCGTATGATGGATGTATTTATGTGGCGTTAGAAATATAAACTGATATGGGGACTTCTCAAATACCTTTCACGTAGCATCTGTTCTTGCTTTCATTAAAAAAAAATAATAATAAACACTTTTACGATAAACTTTGACCTGTCAATATGTTTAACTTGCTGCAGTTCTTTGTTGCACAAAATAAATGTGAAATTCGTTTCCAAAAAGTTCTCTGGCAAATAAATGCATAACTTATAAAATATATAAGTATGAGATTTTCGTTTTATATATGTGACCTACTGATAATAATGGTATATCTCTTTGTTCATTAGAATTAAGAAATAAGGCGTATATACAAGCGGAACCTATATGAGAAACCAAAAATGCTTAAAAACTGTACTTAAAAAATAAATTTTGAGAAAAAAGAACCAATTTTCTAATTTTTTGAACCGATTTTCTAAGTTTTTGAACCAATTTTCAAATTTGAACCGAAAACTTAATTTTTGTCGGATTTTCTAGTCGCTCTAGAGGCCATTAGTATATGCAGTATGACCAATTACTTAGAACAGCTGATTAGATGATAATCGGTCAATATTTCCAGGGCCATATCAACCAAAACATAAAATGACAATTTTTTTTATATGGCGTAAATATTCACCTCGGAAAAACAAGATTTGGAAAATATGCCAGGGTAAGAAGATGAAACTGTTGACCTATAATCGGCCAAGATGGAGCAAATATCGCGAAATATTATCCAGGCTTAGAACATAGAACCGCAGAAAGTTTTATTTTCGTGGTAATTGTGTAGGGTATTTTAAATATTGTATTACGGTTTTAATGGACTAAGTCATTATATTCAAAACTGTTTGTAACAGGCAAAAGGAAACGAGATAGACACATGGTTCCTTTTGAGCATATGCATAGAATCACTTTTTAAGACGTCCATGTTAAATTGTGAACAAAGTACAGGTCGCATTTATGATCTGAATTGGATGAAATTTGACACAGCTAATTTCATTTGCCCAAAGACGAACTCTATTGAAATTGGGAAAAATCGGTCCAGATTTAGATATAGCTCCCATATATATTTTCGTCCGATTTTATGTATATGGTGTACCAAAGTCCCTATATATCTTTCGATTTGCACGAAATTTGGCAAGTTTCCTGAAAATCGGTCCAGATTTAGATATAGCCCCCTAATATATTTTCGTCCGATTTTATGTAAATGGTGTACCAAAGTCCCTAGATATCTTTGGATTTGCGCGAAATATGGCATGGTGTACCAAAGTATGTCTAGAATGATGTGTGTTAAGTTTCGTGAATATCGGTTCAGATTTAAATATAGCTCCCATATATATTTTCGTCCGATTTTATATAAATGGTGTTCCAAAGTCCCAATATACCTTTCGATTTGCACGAAATTTGGCATAGCGTAATGAATTAGCTCTAGAATGACGTGTGTTAAGTTTCCTGAAAATCGGGCCAGATTTAGATATAGCTCCCATATATATTTTAGTCCGATTTAATGTATACGGTGTACTAAAGTCCCTATATATCTATCGATTTGCACGAAATTAGGCACACCGTACTAAAGTATGTCTAGAATGATGTGTGTTAAGTTTCGTGAAAATCGGTCCAGATTTAGATATAGCTTCCATATATTTTTTCGTTCGATTTAATGTAAATGGTGTACCAAAGTCCTCATATATCATTCGATTTGAACGAAATTTGGCATAACGTAACGAATTAAGTCTAAAATGATGTATGTTAAGTTTCCTGAAAATCGGTCGAGATTTAAATATAGCTCCCATATATATTTTCGTCCGATTTAATGTAAATGGTGTCGTCTGATTTTACACAAAATTGACACAAACTTTTCACAACGTACTGGAGTTAGAATAACCTAGAAGTTGGTTTTAAATGCTTTACCATGGTGGGTCCACGTGTGGCAAATTTAGTTCAAATCGGATAAGATTTTGATATAGATTATATATATATATATATATATAAATATATATAATTGATTTTCATAATTTTGTCCTTGGTCCTTTAAAAAATCGACGCCTTTTAGGTTTCATATTTTGGATATACCGAAAGTGGTGAAGGGTATCATATAGTAGGCCCCGTCCGACTTTACTACTTTCCCTACTGGTTTTTAGTAGGAATTTACTTAGAAGCTTTACAAACAAAATACCGCTATATGGGGGATACCCATGCATGAGCAAATTTTATAGTTTTTCGTTGGCAGATTTGATAGCCGAAGTGAGTCTAAAATACCAGTTTATAGTTTATTTTGTTCAAAATCGTGTTTAAACCCCCCAAAATACCGAGTATACACAATATGCACAAATTTAATATACACTTAACCTTTTGGTGGAGGATATAAAATTCTCCACCACGACACGAGGAAGATAACCCATGAAAATCTGTATAGAATCACTTTCTGAGACTATTAATGAATGTGCGTCGGTCTTTCTATCCATGTACTTTGTTAACAATAAACAAATTACAGGCCTAATGGTGAACTTTATTGAAATTGGGTTGTTTGAAATCGGTTCAGATTTAATGGTGCACCATTTTCTGATTAAGTCTACAATGACGTGTGCTGCAAAAAGAAAATTCGTGCAAATCGAAAGATTTTGAGGGACTTTGGTGCATCATTTACCAAAAATCGGGCGAAACTATATATGGGAGCTATATCTAAATCTGAACTGATTTTCACAAAACTTAGCACACGTCTTTCTGGACTTAATTCAGTACGCTATGCCAAAATTAGTGCAAATCGAATGATTTGCAGGGACTAAAGTCGGACAAAGATATATATGGGAGCTATATCTAAATCTGAACCGATTTTCACGAAACTTAGCACACATCATTCTAGACTAAACTCAGTACGCTATGCCAAAATTCGTGCAAATCGAAAGATTCTGAGGGACTTTGGTGCACCATTTGCAAAAAATTGGGTGAAACTATATATAGGAGCTATATCTAAATCTGAACCGATTTTCACAAAACTTAGCACACGTCTTTCTGGAATTAATTCAGTACGCTATGCAAAAATTAGTGCAAATCGAATGATTTGCATGCACTAAAGTCCGTAAATCGGACAAAAATAAATATGGGGGCTATATCTAAATCTGAACCAATTTTTCCCAATTTCAATAGGGTTCGTCCTTGGGTCAAATAAATGAGCTGTACCAAATTTTAGCCAAATCGGATTATAAATGCGGCCTGTACTTTGTTTAGAATTTATCATCAACAGACCGACGGACGGACAGACGGACGTACGAACATTCATAAATCGACTCAGAAAGTGATTCTATGCATATTCTCAAAAGTTAACATGGGTCTATCTCGATTCCTTTTGCCTGTTACAAACATATTCACAAAGACATAATACCCTGTACCACAGCGCGGTGAAGGGTTTAAAAGGAGACATGCTTTAAAACATATACAAATAAATACGCCATTCATGACCCTTGAAAAAATATTCTTTAAAAAATCCACGTCTTTCATAGTCTTTGAAAAACATATTATTAAATAACTCCTCGCCTTTAAATGTATCTAGAAAATATTCTAAACCAGTGAGCGGAGCAGTATAGTCGGACGGGGCCGACCATACGATACCCTACCCAACTACCACGGAACTCAAATTTCCTGTGCATGTTTATTCCGAGCCTGGGCAATATTTCGTAATATTTGCACCCTCTTGCCCGATTAGATGTAAACAGCACCTCTTTCTCACACTGACATATTTTCCGAATATTACGAGTATTCAGTATAGCTATTGTCCAGATTCTCTTCACCGTGGGTTGTGTTGTGATGTTCGGCTTTCATTTGTGGTCTATAGATCGACTCGAAAATAACACAAAAAAAAATTAAGTTTTCGGCCCACTTCAATCCCAAATTATTATCTGATCATCACCGAAAATTATAGGCGTTGTTCTTGACCATAACTGGAACCTCATGGAACATTTCAAAGCGATCAGCGCTATATTTCCGCCCTCCAGTATGGTAATGGGTTACTAAATAATATACGTATACGGAGATACCTGTAAATATTTGGGTGTAACTCCCACATCCGAGCACATACAACAATATAATTGGTATCAATTTAAAGGCCAACATCTCTTCTTGGATATATTATCAACTTCTCGGGTCTATGTCCATCAGGGACAAATATATACGCTATAGAATACAAATTTTGTCATTTTCACACAAAAGTCAGGGTCCATTTGACCCGCTAAATATTGACCGATCTTTATCAAAACAAAACATACATGCTTATTCTTTGGCCCGATCCCCTTCTCCATGCAAAATTTTAAGATGTTCGAGCCATTATTGCGGGTCTGGAGCGACCAGAAAAACAGACAAAAATTTAGTATTTGGTCCATTTCATCCCCTAAATATTAACCGATCTTTTCCAAAAACAATAGGGGTCTTCATTGGCCAGAACCCATCCTACATGCAAAATTTCGTGAAGATTGGTCCATAACTGTGGCCTGTATCGTGTTTACAAATTATAATGGACAGACGGATGGACGGACACACATGTCTAGATCGACTCAGCTAGTCGAGATATGACGATCGGTATACTTAAAGGTGGGTCTAGGACCAATATTTCGCGGCGTTACAAACTTTTGGGGCTGCACAAAGCTATAATACCCTGACAACATAGTTGTGTAGGGTATAAAAATTATTTAATTTTGTTATATATTAAGTTTAATTATATTCAAGTTTTGCATGGGATTCAGTTGAATTCCTTCGTTTAGTCTATTTATTTTCGATTCGATTTTAGTCTATTTATTTTCGGTTCTATTTTAGTCTACTCATTTTTATGTTTAATCGATTTCTCCTGTATAACTTCTTTTCGGACACCAAAAGTAGGATTCAGTATGGCAAAGACCAGACCTGAAATAATAATTTTTAAATGTTAATATAAATAATAAAAAAATATTATTTTTTGTTAACCATACCACCATAAACCAGTAAATCAGCAATAAGTTTATAATAGTTTTCATGGAACTGAGATATTTTTATATAATACATATAACCAAGATAAGCAAAACCAACTATCCAAATTGGTATGAACAGGAATGGACGTCTCTGAAATGGTGAAAATTTATTAATAAATTTTATGGTTTAAAAAGAGCATATAATATTTTAAAAATATTTACCGTGAATGCACTAGCCATCATTAGCATTGAAGAAATAGCCGTCATTGCCAGGAAAAACATTTCTTGATAGTATTCTAAAAAATTTCAATTTTTATAATTAAATGAAGTTTTCCAAAAAACATTCAGATTTTTATGACCAACAAATGCGATATGCATAAATCCCAAACATCATTGTCGTTTTCTTTACTTCTTTTATATAATATCTTACCTCTCTCCCATTCATCGTTATTAGGTACTTTGAATGTCCAACGCTCATTTGTAAACAGCATTAAGGCCACGCTAGCTCCAAACAAAAAGATCGCCGTACCAATACAGTGTTTCGAAAGGGAACTTAATGACATTTTTATTTTTTTTTCTGAAATATACACCCTCACTCTATGGTAACTATGAAGAAAACTGATCTGATCATTTTATTTGGTCTTGCAAATATATATTTTTGTCTAGCGAAAAAAAAGACTGATAACCTTTTATGTCACCTGAACATAATTATTTGTTATTGCATATAGTTTCAAAATTGTGTTTCTTTATTGCCATTAAATTTTTTATTTGACAACTTATTAAGAAACAAAATTACTCATCTCTATTATAATTATTATTTTTTTTTTAATTTGAAGGAAATTTAAATTGTCTCTTTCACCCTTACTAATGATTGGATCTGCGATTAAATAGCAATCTTCTTTCCATATCATCATCCACATCGAATCGCATCGCCTTGAATAGAACATAAACTGGATAGATAATCATCACTTGGAGAGCTGAAAAAATATGCAAAAGTTTTAATCCGAACATAGTATTTAATAGTTGTTTTTTGTTATTTACGTAAAGATTTCATTCCAAAAATAATCTCTTCGGGAAGTTGATGGGAGCTATGCGTCAGCCATAATAATAATCGTTGAGCGAGATATACAGCTAGGCTGTATAGTAGCCAAAATCCAACGAATAAACGACATTTCTGCAAAAAGAAAAACCAGTAAGGAAAGTACTAAAGTCGGACGGGACCGACTTATCATATAGTTATCACCACTATGGGTACATACAACAGACGCTAAGATATACAATATCCTGGAGATAGAATAGACAAATCATCTTTAGATTTTTCCAAACCTTAACACACATCATTCTAGACTTAATTTAGTACCTTTTTGTCAAATGTCGTGCCAATCGGAAAATTTATACGGGATAGGTGTACCTTTTACATTAAATCGGACATAAATATATATGCGAGCTATATCTAAAAAAGAACCGATTTTCACGAAACTTAGTACACATCATTCTAGAGTTAATTCAGTACGCTGTGCCAAATTTCGTGCAAATCAAAAGATATTTTGGGACTTTGCTGCACCAATTACCTTAAATCGAATGAAAATATATATGGGAGCTATAACTAAATCTAAACCGATTTTCACGAAAATTACCCCACATAATTCTAGGCTTAATTCAGTACGTTTTACCAAATTTCGTGCAAATCGAAAGATATTTAGGGACTTTGGTGCACCATTCACCTTAAATCGGACTAATATATATATATATATATATATATATATGGGAGCTATATCTAAATCTGAACCGATTTTCACAAAACTTAGTACACATCATTCTAGAGTTAATTTAGTACGCTGTGACAAATTTTGTGCAAATCGAAAGATATTTAGGGACTTTGGTGCACAATTTACCGGAAATCGGACGATAATATGTATGGGAGCTATATCTACATCTGAACCGATTTTCACGAAACTTAGCACACATCATTCTAGACCTTATTCAGTAGGCTATACCAAATTTCGTGCAAATCGAAAGATATTTAGGGACTTTGGTACACCATTTACCTTAAATCGGGTGAAACTATATATGGGAGTTATATCAAAATCTAAACCGATTTTCACGAAACTTAGCACACGTTATTCTAGACTTAATTCAATGCGCTATGCCAAAATTCGTGCAAGTCAAATGATTTTCAGGGACTTTGGTGCACCATTTAACTAAAATCCGGCGAAACTATATATGGGAGCTATATCTAAATCTGAACCGATTTTCACAAAACTTAGTACACATCATTCTAGAGTTAATTCAGTACGCTGTGACATTTTTCGTGCAAATCGAAAGATATTTAGGGACTTTGGTGCACCATTTACCTTAAATCGGACGAAAATATATATGTGAGCTATATCTAAATTTGACCGATTTTTTCCCCATTTCAATAGGTTTCGTCTTTGGGCCAAACACATGAGCTGTGCCAAATTTCATCCAATTCGGGTCATAAATGCGACCTATACTTTGTTTACAATTTAACATGGATAGACGGACGGACGGTCATGCATAAATCGACTTAGAAAGTGATTATATGCATATTCTCAAAAGGAACCATGGGTCTATCTCGATTATTTTTGCTTGTTGCAAACATATGCACAAAGACATAATACCCTATACCACAGTGTGGTGAAGGATATAAAAAACAATGGGACATGCTTTAAAACATTTAAAATATATACGTTATATATAGCCCTTAAACAATATTCTTTAAAAATCCACGCCTTTCATAGCCTTTGAAAAAATATTCTTTAAAAATCCACGCCTTTCATAGCCTTTGAAAAAATATTCTTTAAAAATCCACGCCTTTCATAGCCTTTGAAAAAATATTCTTTAAAAATCCACGCCTTTCATAGCCTTTGAAAAAATATTCTTTAAAAATCCACGCCTTTCATAGCCTTTGAAAAAATATTCTTTAAAAATCCACGCCTTTCATAGCCTTTGAAAAAATATTCTTTAAAAATCCACGCCTTTCATAGCCTTTGAAAAAATATTCTTTAAAAATCCACGCCTTCCATAGCTTTTGAAAAAATATTCTTTAAAAATCCATGCCTTTCATAGCCTTTGAAAAAATATTTTTTAAGAATCCACGCCTTCCATAGCTTTTGAAAAAATATTCTTTAAAAATCCACGCCTTTCATAGCCTTTGAAAAAATATTCTTTAAGAATCCACGCCTTCCATAGCTTTTGAAAAAATATTCTTTAAAAATCCACGCCTTTCATAGCCTTTGAAAAAATATTCTTTAAAAATCCACGCCTTTCATAGCCTTTGAAAAAATATTCTTTAAAAAATCCATGCCTTTCATAAAGCATGAAAAATTATTCTTTAAAAAATCCACGCCTTTTATTTCCATGCGTTATAAAATAAAAATATTCTTTAAAAAATCAACGTACTGAAAAAAAATTATTTAAAAAATTCACGCCTTTCATAGCCCTTGAAAAAATATTTTTTATAAACCAAGTTTTCATAGCTCTTGAAAAATGTTTTTTTCTTTGAAAAAAATTGTAATATAGATCCACGCCTTTAGAAATCTTTGAAAAAGTATTGTTTAAAAAATCCACGTCTATGGAAGTCTCTAACAAATATTCTTTTAAAAATCCACGCCTATGGAAGCCTCGATATGAAAATATCTAAAAAAATATTATTTTAAAAATCCACGTCTTTGGAACTCTAGAAATATTCTTTAAAAAATCTACGGCTATGGAAGTCTCTAAAAAATAATAAATAATAAAAATTAATCATTGAAAAAAAATTCTTTAGTCATGCCCAGTCTTTGAAAAAATTCTGGAAAGTAGGCTTAAGGCGTTGACAGTCATTAAATGTTTTGACATACTGGATAAAAAGTCTAATAACTCACCATTTTTATGCCGAGAACTAATAAAAATGCCATTACAACAACACTGAGCTGTAATATGACTATGGCCAAATTCATCGGATCCATTTCTGTGAAACACACAAATGAAAATTCAGTTCACTATTTCAAATTAATATACAAAAACTTTATATGGACTAAAATTCCACTTACTTAAAAATGTCGAAAATTCAAATATAACACCCGTTCCCTTGTATCGGAGGCCATGTTCCAATATTTTACAAATATTATAGGCGGCATTAGCCAAACCAATGATAATGCAAACACGTTTAAGTTTTTCCAAATTATGCATTTCAAATAAATATTATTTTCTTTACCGTTAAATATTCACAAGTTAACGTCAATACAATTTTAAAACTGAACTGAAATATTGGTATACAGGTAAAAGAGAATAATTTCGAAGATTATTTTTAAAAAAATATTGATTCATTATCAAGTGATTTTTTTTCAACAAAGGCGGATGATGGAGAGGAATATGCTGCTTCAATTCTTATCAATATTGAATGATGATTGTTTTGAGTGTTTTTTTTGGCAATATTCAATGAATTTGTCCAATAATATCAATGACCTTTGTACAGCATACAGTGAGACAAAGGAGGTACACATTCGGTTTAAAAAATTTAAAAAATAGTACAAAATACTAAGGCAAGGCCTTTTAAAATATATAAAAAATAATAATAATATCAGTAGTGTTGGCGGGTTATTTGGGAAATGGGCTTCAGGCTGAATTTGTTGTTTTCATTTAATAGAGGGGTATGTATGGCATTGTCCGCCGAGGGGTACGGCAGTTCTCGTTTCAGATCTCGCCACTGATCCTCAGAAGGTATTTATTGCTTCTTTACTAAAAACCTTTCATACACAAATGTCTCTTGTAACAAATCGACGTACTTACGTTACCAGCGTTACCACCTCAATGTGAAGTTCGTTGGTGTCTGACTTCGTGGCCTTAAAGAAAAATATTTTATAAAGGACTAACAACGGAAGTAGTTTTTTAAATCATTTTTAAATAAATGTCCAAAGGCTAGAATTTTTTTTAATTAATTTTTAAAGGACTGTCTATAGGCGAGGATTTAAAAAATATAGAATCATCAATAGGCTCTAAATTAAAAATAAAGAATTATCAATAGGCTTGGATTTAAAAAAAATAAGAATCATCAATAGGCGTGTATTAAAAATAAATAAAATATCATCAACTGGTGTGCATTAGGAGTGGATTTTTTAAAAAAATACTTTTTTAAAGGACAAGCATTAGGCGTGGATTTTACAACAAATATTTTTTATAGGCGTGGATGTGTTAAAAATATTTTACAGTGTCAATAAGCGTGCAAATGTTAAAAAATTATTTTTGGGGCTGAAGATGCATGGGATTTTTAAAAAATAATTTTTTAAGGACCA